ATGTTTTTATTTAAGTGCCACAAAGGGAAAACCTGTAATTCAGGCTTTTTCCTTTGCAACACTCAATTTTTTTTCTTAGATCGATCTTATAGACATGCGAACCAGAAAAGATGGTGAATTTAAATGGATAGTACATGCCAGAGATCACTTTACACGTTTTTCCTGAGCCCGCATTCTTACAGATAAATGCGCAGTGAAAGTAGCTGTATTTTTGTTTGATATCTTTACTGTATTTGGTCCACCGATCTTTCTACATAGTTATAATGGGCGTGAATTTACAGCAGACATTATCAATAATCTTACAAAACTGTGTTCAAGTCTTAAAATTATTCATGGAAAGCCAAGAAGGCCACAAACTCAAGGTTCAGTAGAAAGGGCAAACTTTGTATTAAAGAATAAACTTGAAAAATAGCTTGAAGATCGACAAAATGAAAATGATGATCTATATTGTACAGTTGGTTTGGCAACTATAGTTCATTCAATGAATTTATCTGTGTGTGTGCTACTAATAAAAGGCCATTTGAGTTAATCTTTGGTTATGAACCTCATAGTAATTATGTTCTTCTTGACCAACTTTGGTCTCAAGGAATTAGAGATGAAGAAAATATTTCTAATGACGTTCAAATTGAAGAATATTATGATGTTCAGTTTGATAATGATAATGAGGACAATATCCAGGTTGAAGAAGATGAAGACGATAGCATAAATGAGAGTTTAATAAAAATTGAAATGAAAATTTATCACAAAACGTGAATAATAATAATAGCATGTTTTTCATGATAAGTATTAACTTTATGAAAATGAAAACTAAAAATTAGAAACTAAATAAATTTTTATTTCAAATTTTTAGAATTCCTTACCTAATAGTATGCTGCAATATCTGGTAAATATTAAGAGTATTTAAAAATTAGAAGTATTTAAATTCTAAAATGTGAAATTATTCAAAATTCTAAAATTCGCTGCTATCACCTAGCATAATGGTAATATTAGAATTAAAAAAAAAAATATAATTGCACTTGATTATTAAAATGTGAAAATTTTCTTACTTTAACAAAAAAAATTTTCAGAGTTGGTTATCGTCGTCATTCTCGCCACCCAGTGTCATGGTAATATTAGTGTTGAAAAATATATATAGATGTAATTAAGTATTAAAATGTGAAAAAACTTCAGAGTTCATCATTACCATCGCCTAGTATGATGGAAAATATGGTTAGTATTGAACAAAGATTTGCTCTTTAATTCATAATAATGTTCATACTTATCGATTTTTCCACAGTTGCTGCCAAACGTGATGAATATAGCAAGCATTTAATAAGAAATTAGAACTGAATTTAATATTAAACTTAAAATTACTCATCTTAAAATTTAAGAATTCGCTGCCGTCTAATGTGAAGGAAAATATAGTAAATATTGAATGAAAAATGATTATAGAATAAAAAAAGTTATACTTATCTTTAGATTCTAGGCTTTACCAATGCCGTTGCCAAATAATATTGTTGAAAATACAGTAAGTGTTGAATAAGAGATAATATTTAGTTGAAGAATGGTAGTTTATATATATGCTTTGACATTTTAGGATTCGCCGCTACTGTCACCTAATGGAAATGCGGTAAATGTTGAACCAGAAATAATATTCCAATTAAAAAATAATGACCTTACTTGCCTTTAGGTTTCGCTGCTGTTGCTGCATAATAAAAATATGGTAACTATTAGTAATTAAAAATGCTTCAAATGAAAATAACCATTTATACTTATCTTTTTTTTTTAAAAAAAAAAATTTAGGTTTCGCCGCTGCTATCACTTAATGAGGATGTGATAAAAATCATTAATTACTAATAATTAAATTTGAAAGATGACAGTTTGTATTTACTTTAAATTTTTTAGATTCTACCATTGTTTTCGTCTAATGAGAATGTGGTAAAGAATGAATAAGAAATATATATTCGGTTTAAACAATTAACTGACCATAATTTGAAAATTTTAGACTTTAATGCTGCCGCTGCCACCTAATGCAGCGAATATGGTAAGTATTTAGAAAAATAACAATATTGCATTATTATTATTTTAGTTGAAAAAATAACAGTTTAATTTTATATTGAATTTTAGGGTTCGCCGCTGCCACCACCTATTGTAGTAGTAAATGTAGTTAGTATTAAGTAAGAAGTAATAACTTAATTAGAAAATATAATAACAACTTATCTTTGATTTTTTAGGATTCGCCGCTGCCACTACCACCTGATGTGGTAATAAGTACGGTTAGTATAAATAAGAATAACTGAAGTAATAACTTTATTAGAAAATGTAATAACAATTTATCTTGGATTTTTTAGAATTCACCGCTGTCACCACCACCACCCGATGTGGTAATAAGTAAGGTTAGTATTAAGTAAGGAGTAATAACTTAATTGGAAAATGTAATAATTTATCTTTGATCTTTTAGGATTTTTTATTGCAACTGCCACCCAATGTGATAGTAAGTAAGGTTAGTATTAAGTAAGTAATAACTGAAGTAATAACTTAATTGGAAATATAATAACAACTTATCTTTGATCTTTTAGGATTTGCCACTGTTACCACTACCTGATGTGGTAATAAGTAAGGTTAATATTAAGGAGTAATAACTTAATTGGAAAATATAAAACAACTAATCTTTAACTTTTAGAGTTTAACGCTGCCACCACTACCAAATGTAGTAGTAAGCGTGGTTAGTATTAAGTAAAAAGTAATAATTTAATTAGGAAAAAATATAATAACAACTTATTTTTGAATTTTAGGGCTCGCCACTGTTATCACCGCCTAATGTAGCAGTAAGTGTAGTTAGTATTAAGTAAGAATAACTTAATTAGGAAAAATATAATAACTTAGCTTTGAATTTTAGGGTTCGTCACTGCCACTACCATCTAACATAGCAGTAAGTGTAGTTAGTATTAAGTAATAAGTGACAGCTTAATTGAAAAATATGATAATAGAGCAGTAAGTGTGGTTAGTATTAAGTAATAAGTGACAGCTTAATTGAAAAATATGATAATAGATTTGAGGTTTTACTGCCACTATCTAGGACAGTAAAAAATCTAGTAGATATTATTAAGCATTAAATATGAAATTTAGATGTCTTCTAGGTAAGCCAAGGACCACTCTAGTAGGTTTAGGTCGCAGATAAATTAGTTTGAGCTTTTATTCTTACTATATAGTTTTCTATATAGTGCAATCAATTATTAGCATTAATTGGTTTGCTAGAATAGGTTAGAGGAAACCTAATTTCTATTTTTTATAAATTAGCCTGAGCTTTTATTCTTGCTATATAGTTTTATTTTATTTGTATTTTTACGAATTGTAGTAATATTCACATTAGTTGATTAGTCAACTAGTGGTTACTATTACTCAATAAAATTATCAATAAAGATATGAGCAAGGCCTCACCTTAATACCAAAAAAAAAAAAAAATTTAGATGTCTTTATATATTTCATTTATGTTTTATTTGTTATTTATTTAAAATTATTTTTAAAATATTTTTTTTTAAATTTTTTAATAAAAATTTTTTTTATTATTTTTTTTGATCAAAATTTAAATTTGAAACAATCATTTTAACTCTAGAGACCACCATTAAATCATATAATCACGCAAATGATAAGTATTAGATTAGCAAAAAATAATAAGCTATAAAAGTACTTACCTTTATTTTTTGATATAAACTTGCTTGAAATAAACAATAATTGATTTTTTTTTTTAAGAATCAAGGTTCGCATTCATTTCCATCCTTTTACATTAGCCAAAGCATCATTGAGGCTGAAGCTACTAAGCACCTGGAAGTTTATACAGAAAAATGAGACAGCAAATGGAAAAAGGAAGAAAACATCCACGTAAATTTGAACCAAATGATTTGGTTCTTATTCAAATTTCTGAAGTTGACGATGCTGGTATTGATTGCCAATATATACCCTGTAAAGTGTTGAAATTCACTGAGAATGACACATACATTTTAGGATGTCAATATGGAAGATTAAACGAATATTATTCAGCTATCGAATTAGTTCCTATTATTGGAACTTTTAGAGAATACTCTGAGCTTGTAAATATTCTAAACAATTGTGTAAGTGCCTGTAAAGCTGCTATCCAACAAAGCTCTGGCTCTATAACTGCTACAAAATGCCTTTGCAAAGGTGATTGTTTAAAAAACTATTGTAAATATAAAAAGGCGGGTGCAACTTGTAGTACTCGTTGCCATCCCAATAATGTTTGATGTAAAAATTAATAAAATTAAAAAAATTTTTTTTATATTAGTTATAATAGCAAATAACTAATATAAAATTATAGTATATAATTACAGTATTATTATTTGAGATGTTTATTGAATTTCTATTGTTTAGTAATAATAACAAATAACTAATATAGAATCATAGTATATAATTCAGTATTATTATTTGAGATGTTTATTGAATTTCTATTATTTAGTATAGTAATATTCTGAATATTCATATAATTTGATGTGTGTTT